GGGTTCGAACAAGAGAGCGGGCAAGTCCTCATCGACCGACGCGCGTCAGCCCGGGCCCTCCACAAGCTCATGTTTTACACAACCGGGCCCTCGTCGAGCAATGCGAGCCTCGTCTTTCTCCACTCCAAGCGGCTTCTCTACGGCGACAAGGACCTCTTCCGGTTCGCTTGGCTCAACACGTCGACGCCGTACCACTTTATCCTCGAGCCGCCGGCGTTCGCGGGCGTGTACCGCTGGTGGCTCACCAAGTTTTGCGGCCTCAGCATCATCCAGTTCGACATGTCCGGTCGCATGACGTTCCTCCACCGCAACATGGCCAAGCTCAATGGCGACCCGCGTCAAGTGCCGGTCCTCCGTGATATTGCGCGCTTCAACACGACAACGTACAATGCGAGTGAGCACTACAAGGTCGAGTGCAAGGGCCGACAGCTCGGCGGCAAGCTCTGCTGGGGCTTCAAGTGGCCTTTTGTCCCTTATGATGTGACACCGATGGGCGACGACCACCGGATTCGGCGCGTCGAAGCCCAAGTGCTGCGGTTTGCGATCGACGCCGGCACGCTCGGGCGGCTGCACCATCTGTACGACAACGACCCGCCGAGCGGGTGGTACCAGCTCGACTTGGTCCTCGGGCTTGGCACGCTCTCGGTTGTCGCGTCGTTTGCGTACCGCTGGGTCGGGTGTCGCCGGCCGCTGGGTCGGTTGTTGTCGCAGCTTCTTATATAACGACCATGCTCGTCTTCTTCACGCTTGGCTCATCATCGGATGGCCGATCTCGAGACTCCTATGAACCAAGCAGCATCGCGTGTTGATCACCGCCCAACGAGCATCAATAAGTTACGAGAGCAGCCCCGATTGGTCGTGTACTGCCCAAGTGCCATCTCGTGCCACGTCATTTTGCTCGACGGTCGCCATGTCCAGTGTGGAATTCCCCGGTTTTCTTACTTTTAACGGTAAAAACATGATGTTTACGGTATTTTGGAGGATCGTTTTGTGGCAAGACGTGAGCCGACGGCGCCGCCACAGGGCCCATCGCGCCATCGGCCGCGGCCATGGAGGCCTTCCGCGCCGTCAAGATGAAGCGCCAGTTCCGCTACGTCTTCTTCCGCATCGACGGCGCGTCGATCGAGGTCGACAAGTCGGCGCCACCGGCCGCGACGGCCGCGGACCTCTGCGTGGCGCTGCCGCATGCCGACTGCCGATATGTCATCTACGACCACGAGGCGACGCTGCCCGATGGGCGCAAGACGTCGAAGCTCTACTTTATTCTCTGGGCGCCGGCGACCTCCAACCCGCAGGCCAAGATGGCGTATTCGTACGCCAAGGGCAACTTCCGCGGCCAATGCGACGGCTGCTTTGACTTGAACGCGAGCTCAGCGCGCGACGTGGAGTTGGGCGTGGGTCTCGTCTCGGCCGACGACGACGACTCGGAGAGCGACTTTGAGTAGGCACGGCCAAAGCCAATCACACCCTCTAACTATAGATCTGTGTTTGACACGAGCCATTGCGTTGCTAATCGTGGTGCTGGTACGTGGCTCAGCCGTCGTGGGTCCGCAAGGACTCCAGTCTCTTCTGCCATCCCTCACCAAGTCGACTCCACGGCCTTTAATGGCGCCTCTCACCAGACGACATTCCGATGGAGTTTGCTCGTCGCCGAGGCGCGAGGATGATTGCTGCAGTGCCTCAAAGGGAGCTTCCATCAGCAACCATACCGGTTTCCTGATCTAGAGATCGAGACAACGATCTCTGGCACTAAACCGCTGCAAGAGTCACCCGTTGTCCGCTTCGGCGGATGAGCTTCCGAAGCACGTTCACTGCCGCCAACACATCTGCTCGGTCCCAAGATGAATGACGCTCTTCACTCAAGACGACGTGATGTGACCGCTGGTCGCATGCAGTGGTGGGGCACTGGGTGTGAACCTAGCCCGGCATCACTACTAGGCCGGGACAAGGCGACGTGTGTTTGCACGTTTCGTCCAACGAGAGAAGCTTTGGGACTGTACAGTTTGGTCAACTCGATCATTTTCTGGTCGTTCGAACGTCGACCAGTGATTGATTTTTGGGGTCTGTGCCCACCGAAAAACTTGTGCCTTGCGATTTGTTCGATGGTTTTGCCCTAAACCTGTTGGGGGTGTTCCATTGGTTCGATAACTCATTTCAACAACATGTCCATAGCTGGATTCAACATGAAGAGATTTTAAAAGGGCGCGGAAACAGGCAGCCAATCACATCGCGCTATGGGCTGAAAAGATACACGATTTCGATTCGCCAACGACCTATTGTCAACACTCTACAATGTATACCCCAGTTCCGCTTTGGCACTAGCTATGACAACCTTCGATCCCATGCATGGCCAACTCACGTTCAGTGGGCTCGACGACGCGGTCGCTGTCTTCCGCGAGCGCCCGGACGACTGCTCCCTCGGTCCGCTCCTCATCGGTACTGCGATCCCGCTCCAGGCGTGGCTCCAGAGCTGGCTTCGTCAAGACTTCAAGTTTGTTAGCTTCTCCGAGGTCTTTCTCGGTCCACTCAA